AAAAAAAAAAAAGAGAAATTGAAAGCAAAATTAAAAAAAAATAAAAAGACTTTAAAGTAGCTTATTTTTCCCTCTCCCTTTCAAGGTGGCACAGTGTATCAGCCTGTCACGGTTGTCACCCCTCAAGGCCAGGTGGTCACACAGGCGCTATCACCTGGGACGATTCGGATCCAGAACTCACAGGTGTGTGTGCCAGCTGATGGAAGAGGGCTTTGGGGGCAAGCGCTGCCCTTGGCGGGGGCGGGGGCAGAGCGGCCTGGAGCATCCTCTGCCTGAGGGCCGAGCTTGTGCGATGTAATTCTCTGAACATGCTTGTCCTTCACACTCTGCCTCTCTCTCAGGAGAACATCACAGTTAAGAAAGTTCTGAAGAAGCAGGAAAAAAGTAACTCATGACCCCTCCCCCCAGGAGCAACCACCGTTGCTATCACCAGTGTTGGGGTGTGAGCTGGCCGTCAGGAACCGGAGATCCTGTGGGCACACGCTCCCAGGGCCCCCTAGGGCGTAGCACAGCACCAGGCTGGCTCTAGCCCGGCAAGGTTGGCCCATATCTCCAGCGGGGCAATGTGCTGTGGCCTGACCCGAACCCTACAAGCTGCCAGGCCTCTTTGCAAGAGTCAGCCCAGTGTGTGTTGCCGCTTCTTATTTTCAGACGTCAGTTTGCTCTTTATGTCAGCTTTGGCCTTTGACCTGCACAGTCTACATCCTTATTGTTAACTTTTTGAGTCACCAGCCATGGGGATGTTGGTATTTTACTGAGAGTAATAGCAGATACCCGAGGGCCTGGGTGGGGCGGGAGGTTTCAGAGATCACTTGGGGAAGCGTGCCATGTTTGCTTTAACCTTGAACCAGAAAAGTTGATGCCGAAACACATGCCAAATTTCATTAAGGTTATCGTCATATATTTAGTTGAGACAGGTACAGCAAACAAACTAAAGTTTGGCCCTGATGTTTGGCACTTGTTTTAAAAGTTAGTTTTTCATTTTTTTCCTGTGTACACAAACTTGAGCTATAGGCAGTTCTTAACACAATTTGCTCCCAGCTCTTGAACAAACACATTCACAAAATAATTACTCCCTTAGTAATAATGTGAGTTTTAAGATTTATGACCTTACTGTCTCCTTTAAGGTCATAAGATGCAATCCCTTTCTGCTGTCTCTTTAGATGTTGGTTTTCAGGTTTTTGAAGAATATATCCAAAAACATACAAATCCAGAGGAAGCAAAGGTAAGGTAGTATAAAGTAAAGTAAACGTTTCTCCAAAATAAACTTCCAAATCCTTTAAGCCACGTTTGTGAAGACAATGCACTGATGCTGACCTGTAGAGTTAGATACTCACTTTCTGGTCAGGTTCATATGTAAGTTCTCGAGCAGGCCTGACCCATCCATGCTGTGGCCTTGGGGGCAACTCTGCTCCCTTCCTGGGTCTATACGGTGAGCGGTGACGGTGGAGAGAGAGGTGCTGTGTGGAGAGAGCTCGCTGGGCTGGAGCACAGCTTCATGCACAACTGATCTTAGAAGACACTTTCCAAAGAAATGCCAGATGGGTCCTTTTCTTGTTAAGTAGAATTGAAAGGATGTGATTTATCTTTTCCTCTGGGCCTGTAGGGAGGGTCAGTATCTTGGGTGTCATGGTGTCTGAGAGGAAAGGGTGGCAGTGGGTACCTGTCAGGGTCTTGCCCCAAGAGCAGAGTCTGCTGAGACCTGTGGAAACTGGCGGCAATAGACTGAAGAAATAGAAGTTTAGGAGAGATGGTAAAAAAAAAAAAGAGAAGAGACATAGAGTAGAATTAAAAGCAGGAGCTCATGGCGTGGCACCTGTGGCTCAAGTGGCTAAGGCGCCAACCACATACACCTGAGGTGGCGGGTTCAAATCCCCAGCCCGGGCCCGCCAAACAACAATGATGGCTGCAACCAAAAAATAGCCAGGCGTTGTGGCAGGCACCTGTGGTCCCAGCTACTTGGGAGGCTGAGGCAGGAGACTCGCTTGAGCCCAAGAGTTGGAGGTTGCTGTAAGCTGTAATGCCACAGCACTCTACCCAGGAGGATAGCTTGAGGCTGTCTCAAAAAAAAAAGCAGGAGCTCAGGGGTCCATTGCCCATCATAGGATTCCAGCAATGGCCCAGAGTGTTTGCTCCACTCTGATTTTATTGAAGTCTATTTGCCCAGAGGGTAAAATGAGGGAGGGAACAAAGATGCCAGCAGCTTCTCAGATTGATCATATCAGCTTCTATTGTTATTATAATTAATCTTAAGGGTAGCTTCCTAATCTGAAATCTGAGCCTTGTTTTGGGAGAGCCTTCTGCTTGAGGTCATACACACAGATTTCTAGGGAGGTGTTACGCTCCGCTAGTTCTCTGTGGAGTAAATTGCCACTGGCGCTAATCTCTGAGGAATTGGTGGGAGGGAGGCATTTTCTTCCCATCACCACCACAGAGGATCTTCCTTTGCTGTAAAAGTATAAGCTCTTCTGCTGTATCTCAGGGCTTGAGCTACTCCCTTGGTCTCTGCCCCAGGCAAATGCAAATCTCAATGGGTATCTGCTTTTGCCCATTTAATGGGCAGGAAATGCCCCAGAAGACATATCTTTTCTAGGACTTGCCATAACCCTTTCTATGGCCATTACTCTCCCCAGAGTGCTCACAGCCCCAGCAGGGTGTTCGTAAGCTGTATCCCCATCAGGCTAGAATTTCAGAACAGGCAGGAAGCTTGCTAGCAATGGCAGCTGAAACATAAACTACCTGACTTTTTTTGTTCCGACTCACTCAGCTTACTTTTTAGTTTTCCTCCTTTTCTGGGGGTGCTTTCCTTTGCCAAGAATGGGGTCTTCGTTCCCCATTCTCTCAGCAGCACCCACCTGCTCTGACTCTCCATGGCCTCCTGTGCTGCTGCCAGTGTCTGTCCCCTCCGCTCCTCTGGAACACCCTGCTCTCGCTGTGCTGCTTCCTCGTGACCCTGGTGTTGTCACTGGTTGCTTGAGATCTCTGTTAGGCAAGGAAATTGATGTTCTCATCTCACTATAGGAGGCGTAGGTGAGAACAGGGGGTGGGTGAGAGGACATGGGCGTCCTTTGCCTGCAGAGAGACTGGCTCGGGGCTCAGCGGCCTTCTTAGCGCCCTTCCCATCAGCCTCTCCGGGTAAGGGGCCCATGCAGACTGCCACAAGTTTAGAGTTACAATGCAGACGGAGCTGTGTCCCCAAAAGATCAGTCTGTGCAGGGTCCAGTGTGTGTGCCTTCACTGTAAATAGTCATTTCTCTGTAGGACCTTGGTCATTTTCTCCATATGAATGGTAAGCTGCTTGGTTATGTCTTATTTTCTGTCTTTTCTGACATGATCTTTCAATTGTCTAAAAGCTTCAGTTACAGCTAAATCAAGATCTGAGCATCTTGCATCAAGATGACGGCTCGTCTAAGAATAAAAGGGGCGTTCTCCCGAAGCATGCCACAAACGTGATGCGGTCCTGGCTCTTCCAGCACATAGGGGTAAGGACAGGGCCGCACCCTCAGCAGCACTTAGAGGCTTGCTTTCTGGCTTCTGCATCTTGGAGAATGGACTTGGGCTTGACTCAGCACCAGCATCTTGCATGTCTGTGACACTGGAGCACGGAGCAGAGGGAGGGGCTTTGCTTCAAGAACCTGAATGCAGTGAGGGGCCTACAGTGCAAGGGACTCCACGAGGACACAGATGTGGAGTTGAGCGTTATCAGCAGGGGACGGCAGGTGGCGGGTTTAACGTGGATCGAGTGGCCTGGCAGGCGGCACCAGCTTGTCCAGGGTGTGCCCTGCCTCTGTCCTGCCCGGTCTTCATTGGCAGGTTCTTCTTGTCCCCAGACATCGTAGGAAGCACAGTGTGGGGGCACTTTGCCAAGTTAGTGGGGAAAGCATGCCCATCACTCTACAGACACAGTCACTGCCACCCCCTGACCCAGGGCAGCTTTCAGAGGGTGGGGTGTGCACATAGGCCATGGTGGCAAAGTGGGCTCCCAGGAGGAGGGCGAGCCCATCTGGGGTTGGGTGGGACCCAGCCTGCAGGCTTGTGAGCCCTCCCCTGCCTCAGACAATCTTCCCAGGGCTCTCCGGCCAGCGTCCACTCTCTCTGGGCACTCAGGGGCACTTGTTCCCTCAGCGGGGTCATCCTCCTGGCCACAGCCAGGCTTCCCCCTCTCCCTCACAGCATCACTGCTGACTCTTGTCTTCCCAGGGCCTGTGTTCACATCCTCCTGCCTTCCCGTCTGCAGTGTGTGCTGTTGCTGTAGGCAGGGATGTCTGTGGCCTCATTCAACCCGCCCTGCCAGTGGTCACCTCTCCTGGCTGCCTGCTGCTGGGGCTGATGCCTGCATTTGTCCTCGGCACAGCGAGCCCAGTGGCATCTCATGTCTTGTGTCCCTCTGGAGTGTAGTTCGCCTGTGGTTGAGTGTCCCCCTTGCCTCTGACCACACTAGGCTCCTTGGTGGAGGTCAGAGGTCCAGGGAAGCCATTGGCTCATAGGCTTGAAACTGGTAGGTGATGTCCTGAGCAGCCCTAGAGAGGAAGGGAACTCCCTACCGGGGACAGAAGACCTACAAGGAGCCCAGGGTGACCCTCCTGAGCACAGGCTCTGCTCTGGTGTCATGGGCTCTATGTACTGTTTCCAGGAGTGCAAGGTAGTGAGCAAGACATGTCAAGAAGAAAAACAGGTGGCCTAGCACAGTGGCTCATGCCTAGGAACCCAGTGTGGGGGGCCGGGCGCAGTAGCTCACACCTGGGAACCTAGTATAGGGGGTCGGGCGCAATGGCTCACGCCTGAGAGCCCAGTGGGGGGGGGCCAGGCACAGTGGCTCACGCTTGTGACCCCAGCACTCTGGGGGGCCGGGCATAGTGGCTCATGCCTGTGATCCCAGAGCTCTGGGGGGCTGAGGGGGCATATGGCTTGCACTCAGGACTTCGAGACCAGCCTGAGTAAAGTGAGACCCCATCTCTACCAAAAATAGAAAAACTAGCTGGATGAAGTGGGGGCACCTATAGTCTTAGCTGTTTGGGAGGCTGAAGTAAAAGATCACTTAAGCCCAGGAGTTTGAGGTTGCTGTGAGCTGTGACGCCAAGGCACTCAGCCCAGAGCGACAGAGCAAGACAGAATTTAATAAACCTGCTCATAAGGTTTGGTTAAAACGCCACTTTCTTCACGGCCCCAGTTCTTGCAGTGCTGTCCACGTGCAGTTTTCCAAACACACCAAGGCAGCATTTGTTACCATTTGGTTTTTCTTCTGGCTCATGTGCTCTTGTTTCTTGCCCTATTTTTATTTTATGAGCTTTTTACAGGGTGAGAATAAGATTTATATTTCCCTAACTCTGAGCTCAGAGCCACACACTCATCTGTGGATTCCAGTTGGATCACACTGATTGGTCTGAGGAGCCAGGCAGGGGCAGCTGCCATTGACCTGGTGCCGACATGTGGTTCTATCTCCAACCACCATGAGCGTTCCTTTAAGATCAGAACCAGAGGGAGCGCCCACCTCCTGGCTTTGTTGGTGCCATTCACTGTCCTGGGTTCTGGCTACTCCAAAATAAGGGACTTGTGTTTTCGGTTTAAGAGTCGATGTCTCCTTATTTTCCACTTGTAGACAGTAATCAGTCTTGGAGAAATGGTTCATTGCTGTGTGGGTAGAAGTCATTTTCTTTTGCTACTTCTGTGAATTTTACTATTTATAATTCTGGCTAGGCACCCATAGCTCAATGGGTAGGGTGTCGGCCACATGCACCGGGGCTGGTATGTTTGAACCTGGACAGGGCCTGCTAAATAACAATGACAAAAAACAACAACAACAAAAATAGCTAGGCGTTGTAGTGGGCGCCTGTAGTCTCAGCTACTTGGGAGGCTGAGGCAAGAGAATCGCTTAAGCCCAAGAGTTTGAGGTTGCTGTGAGCTGTGATGCCATGGCATTCTAACGGAGGGTGACATAGTGAGACTGTCTCAAAAAAATAATCTGCCACCTAAATCTGCAAGATAGTAAGAGCATTTAATACAAGACCAGACACACCCCTGCATATGTACCCACATGAACAGGAAGGTCTTATTGTTTCTATTGGAACTTCAACAAGTTAACATTTTAGCCCAGTTAAAATAAAAGGATATGTTTATGAGTGGCAGAATTTGTGCTTTCTTTTCTTTTATGCATGCCAATTTTATTAAGCTGAATTGCTTCCTACATCTGAACACCTCAATAAAAATGTGGTAACTGACCCATGAATTATTAATAATAATTCTGGTTGGACTCTATTTTTTAAGTGAAATGTTTTAATTGTACATAAAAGAAGAGTAACACAACAAACACTCCCATCCCCCGCCCTGGCTTCAGTTCTCTCCTGACAGCGCAGGTTAGCCCAGCAGAGTTGAGCACAGTTCATCCCAGGCACCAGTGGCAGAAACGTGTCCCTCCAGCACCCCGGCCAGTTCCTGCCTCTACCCGCTGTGCTGCCCATGGGTGGGGAAAGTGTGTGAGCCCTCCATGCCTCAGTCTCCTCTTCTGTAGTGAGGCCCATGACAGTCGCCACCCTAGAAGGTGCTTGTGAGGACTCAGTGAGCTACCGTGGAATGCGCCAGGTTGAGGAAGGTGCTGGGTGCTGGTTGGGGCAGGCTCACCTGTGTTCCTGCTCTACCTGCACGTGGTGTGTGGTTCATACGTTAAGCCTCAGTGGGGCTGATACAGAATCTATAAATAGGGCTCGGCACCTGTGGCTCAAACGGCTAAGGCGCCAGCCACATACATCTGAGATGGTGGGTTCGATGGCGGGCCCGCCAAACAACAATGATGGCTGCAACCAAAATATAGCCGGGTG